TCGAAGCATCCGATTGTCGGGATCTCCTGACATTCGATATTTTGGCAGCCTTTTCAGACAGTTGCTTCCCATGTCGAACTAATGCACTTCCTAATAGTATATCATAGCATGAAAGTGACTGAACATTCCTTGAGTTTGGACCCGTATTCATTTGCTGTTTCAGAAAAGGTGTTGTTATTTATATCATTGATGCGCTTCAATAATTCGGTTTGAAATGCTTTTTCTGAATCTTTTAGTCTGAAAGATCTTGGGAGGCGTTGTTTTTAGGGAATTATCAGTTTTACGCGGTTCCTGACTCAAATCATAGCATGTCCATTAGATCCATGAAGGTTGCCCATTTCAGCGCCCCTATAGGAATTATTTAGGAACTCTTCCAACTGACTAAGATATAATCAGTGGTTGAAATGTTGATTATCTGGGGAGTTCCACGTAACTGGATGTTTTCTACAATGCTGGAAGCAAATATTAGTGCCAAAAAATTCATGCTTTTCGACACAGCGAAGAAGGCGTACCCCATTGGCGCACCGGTCTCCGAGACAGCAGTATTATGACCCACATGCATTCCAGTCTCCTCAGATTATGACCGTTTTATAACTTCAGTGTTTTATATCTTAAATTTAATCATTGGTAGATTGTTTTCCCAATAATAATAATATATTTGCTTGTCATACTGATTGTATTATCTTTGGAATAAGCATTAAATCCCATGAAAGAGCTGGGCAATGTATCGTATTGGCTCTAATCTACTTTCATTTCGTTATTTCATCCTTTGCCTTTTACAATTGAAAGAAAATATTTCCAAGATGCTGTAAGATCATTCAGATATCGATATACAGTTTTTACAATATAGTATACTTTTAAAATTTATCGTTAATTTATTTTCTAATTTATTTGCTCTTGATTCCTAATTTTTTAGTTTTTTTTAGGTGTCCTTTAGAAAATGTCAAAAATAATTGTTTTATGTCCAAATGGTCACCGTTGTATTATAAACATAACGCCCGATTCTAATTTACAAGAGGTTTTTATTTTTTATTTATTTGTTGATAACCAGCCAAGCAGGGCAACAACTCCATGTGCTTGCATTAATAACAAAAGTTTAAAAAAACATAAAATTTAATAATAAGAAAAATAGAAAATATAACAAAAGTTAGCAGTTTAAAGAGGAAATAAAGAGGAAATTGCAGAATAATATAATATAGTATAATTCGAAGTAATTGTATTATATACAATCGGATGGTGAAAATCGAGATTTCAAACTTTCTGCATGATGTGAACAATTTAAATAATATCATAAATGATATGTTATCTTTAAATATTGCTAAGAATGACGCACAAGCTATATCGTTCGGTAATTTATTCCAGTAGTTAATAGTACGAATAAAGAAGTCTGAGTCCTTAGTTTAGTTTTGCATATAGGTTTTAGTAATTTTAAGCCATTAGTTCTTGTTGGATTCAAATTTAGTCTAAAGTTATAATATTTCGAGCAATCTAGTTTAATATAACCATACGCAATCATATATGTGTAAATTAAATATTGTTTAATTCTATGAACTGAGAGAGAATCCATGTTATGTTGTAGAAGTGTTCTTTTATAATTAAAATTATAATTATAATTTTTATAATTATAATTATAAAATTATAATTTTTATTAGGAGAGAGGCGTCGTAGAAAATATTTTTGGAGTCCTTCAATTATTTTACCTGTCTCGGGGAGTAATATGTAGTATTGTAGTCAAGAAGAGGCCGAACGAATGCTTTGTATAATTTGATAAGAAAACTCTAGTTTTGTTCTTAAACAAACGAAAAATAAAATTTAGTATCTTTGAGGATTTTTTTACCATGGTTCTGCAGTGAAGGTCGAAATCGAGATTTTCATCCATGATTATTCCAAGGTCGGAAATGTGTGAGACTCTACTGATTATATTGCCATTAATAATAAGATTAGGAAAATCGAAACCTTTAGAATTGATATGAAGAAGGCTACATCTTTGAAAGGAATGAGTGATTTGCCTGTATGGCTATTCTGTTGAGGTCCTTCTGCAATGGAGATAGGCTATCTGTTCTACCATATGAACACTAAATTTTTAAATCATATAAAGATAAACAGTAGAATTTAGTACCACATTGGTGATATCATTTATATATAATAGAAAAAAGCAATGGCGCAATACAACTACCTTGGGAAACGCCAGATTTAACAGGTGCTGTGTCAGAAAGAATATTATTGACACAACAGCTTGGTGACGATCTTATATGTAATCTGACACCCTGTTATAAAGGGCCCCTGTAATGCCATAACTATTAAGAGTGATCAATAATTCTTTATGGGAAATAGTATCGAAAGCAAATCTAGGTACACATCTGATACTGTTTTTCCATTGTCAATTGATGCTAAACAATCGGAAAGATTTGTTAATATTTGTGAAGAAGTAGATTTTTCAAAAGTAGATGTTCAAAAAGCCATATTGGTAGGTATGAAATTATTAATTTCAAGATACATAAGCAATTAATATCTTTGAGGATTTTTTTACCATGGTTCTGCAGTGAAGGTCGAAATCGAGATTTCCATCCATGATTATTCCAAGGTCGGAAATGTTCGAGACTCTACTGGTTATATTGCCATTAATAATAAGATTAGGAAAATCGAAACCTTTAGAATTGGTATGTTAATTACTGGAATAAATTACCGAACGATATAGCTTGTGCGTCATCCTTATCAAATCAATCTTTCGAGTACCTTGCTAGCATGTTAGGCTAATAGGTCTATAATTAGAAGGGTCATAGGTGCTTCCTTTTTTATGAATGGGAATTATATGAAACGATGTTCAGCTTGTCCCGATAATATTCCAAATTTTGGGATTAAGACCAGATTTCATAATGTTCTTATAAATTAAAAATAGGGGAAGACTCAGAGAAATTGCATATTTTTTAATAAATTATTTGTGGAATATTATCAGGACCAGCTGAAATGGCTTAAGTCTATTTAAAGCATCATAAGCATCCCGTAGCATTATTTCAACCTCATCGAGAGAAGTGCAACAAATTCGATTTATGTTAAAACGTATGAATATTATCCTCAACAAATACACTAGAAAAATATTGATTAAACGCACTTGCAATATCAATATAAGAGGTGATCACATTATCATTATGTTGCAGAATTAATTGTTTATGTGGATTTGCAAATTTTCTTTTGATGTAAGTCCAGAAAGAATTTCTATTAATATTGAAAAGTTCCTCTTCTTTATTTGAAAAGTAATTATGGATGGTACTACGGAAACTTTTTAAGCATTCTTTATATGCAGAAAGGTCACATGGCAATTTGGTGAATTTATATAATTTATATTTATTCTAAAACTTCCTGATACTTTTTTAAAGAGATTTTAAAAAAATAGGAATTGACCTAACGCTTTTTTCCTTAAAAGTATATATTGCTCCAGAAGATATAAAATATTGCTATTAGAAAAATAACTTTTTCATCAATAGAAGGAGTTAAATAAAATAAGAAATCCCAGTTTATTTCTGCGAGGATAGAATTCAAGATTTCATAATCACAATAACGGTAATTTCTAGAATATCTCGGGGGAGGTACATAACGGTTTAATTTTAATGAAGCGTGAATGATATTGTGATCAGTATTACAAAAAAGTTCCAAGACTTTAATGCTATCAACAAGAGAATTAAGAGTAGTTAACTTAACATTTAAAATAGTGTTGTACCTAGTGGCAATCTTAACATTTTTTATTTGCTTCTGCTTATTACTATAAAGCCGTCGAAGTTTAGTTCCCGGTTATCAGTAGAGTCATCCAACCATGTTTCATTAATATATTATTTGGGTTATCAATTAGTAAGAGCTGTAGGTCATAAAGTTTATATTTTAAACTTCTATGAATTAAATATATATATATATATAGATAAATTATTTCCTATTTTAATAACCTTACTTGGCAAGTTGTCCTAGGTTGTTGCAGATTGATGAGAAAAAGTTGGTATCGAAAAATTGTTCTTTTGTTCTTTTTTTTATACTAGGAGTCTTTAAATGTTTTTTTCATATGAAAAATTTTTCGTATGCTAGAAATTTTCAGATATTTTTTTTTGAACGATGGATTGTGATAATTCAGTCATTTATAGTCAGTTTCTGAATCTTTTACTGAAAATAGTGTTCAGTGATCGGGTGGAATTTCTTCGAATCTTCCTGTACTCCTCAGTGTCTCACAGAACTTCACACTATGGAAGCACAGTATATCGTAATTGCAATACTTCATCCAGTAACGTATTTATTTAAGATCTAACTATTTAAATACCATTCAACCTAATGTCTGTCAGAAATTATTTCTGAGATATCTTTAAACAGATTTGGAAAACCGTTTTTGATTATGTCCATTCAACTACCATCTTGCAATAGTCATCGAACATTATAGAGGAACTGTCGAAGATTTATAAATAATTATTTTATAACAGTAATTTAGAATGTGGAATATTAATCTAATCTTGCACTTTCCCTTTATAAATGCTAATCTTATCTTGTATCTTCACGTTGTATCCTTTTTGTAATATGGTTCATTCATTCATTGGTAAATGCTGTCAACTTTTGCCATCTGGGCGTCATACTCTTTTATGCTTAACTATTTTTTAACTTATTCCTATCACCATTTATAAAGTCACCAAATGTAGTTGTAACGGTCATTTTGTATTTTATAATTACTTTATTCGTTGCGGACGTGTACTGTATGTACACTTATTTCTCTGCATATTATCTCGACGTTCATCTCTGCGATTACTAAGATCTTTTATATCCCACATATTTTTCTATCGTTATCAACAGTTTTCTATATAAAAAAAATAACCAGACTTAGTTCATGGATATTAGCTCTTTAAAATATCCACATGCTATCCATGAAAAATGAATAACCTTTGATGGGCATACAGTTTTTGATAAAATTGCGCTACGATTGGCAATAATCAAAAACTAAAAATTAATATGTTCAACAATTCTGGAAAATGTTGCGCTTACAATATTTATCACTTCGCCAAGACGGTACTAAAGAATATCAGGATCATTGGAAATCTACAGTCAACAGAGATAAAAGGCGCAGTCGTTCTCAGTTTTGGGTTTAATCATTCCAGAAATAGTACGAGTCCTAGAGCCTTAAGTAGTACTTCTTCCAGTTGGTAATCAAATGAAACGATCTTTATGCTTTATCCATTAGAAGTGACGGACTCTCACAATTTTGATGAGTCCAGATGCAGGAATGTTATCGAGGGCACTTCGATTTTCCATCCAGAAGTAATTTTGAAAATCAAAGATAAAGAACGAAAAATATTTTTGGCACAAGAGGAGAATTAAACTCACTGTTATGCGCCATGCTAAAACCAGATCGCCATAAGATAACTGCAGCTTCTATATTTTTTTTCTTGATCAAATTATAATTGGTGGATAAGAATGTCGGAAATGATGATCCAATTATTATATAATTCTCTATCTAAATCCATTCGAAACTGTAGATGTTTCCAATGCATTGGTTAGGATCGGATATTAAATGGCAAATGAATTTTAAGTATCAATATTAGTAGCAATGTCGGTAACAGTTTCTGCTATTCTTTCTAAATTATGCCTGTCAAATGATCTTTCGAAGATGCAATTCCCATTCGCAATCATTTTTGTACTGCGAATATCCTTCATCTAGATTCTGAGCTAGGGCATTATACTAGCGTATCTCAGTTTTCTATGTATATGGAGAAACAACATAGCTTTCGAAATAATAACTGGCTTATTTTCAAGTTACATTTCTATCCCCTGTCAAATATATAATAAATTGGGTTATGGACATCTTTTAAGCATTTAAGAGGTATGGAGGTCAATCTGGAGCAGTAGTATCAGGGATTTTGTTACACTCTTGAGGTAATCTTTTTACTGATAAATATGAAAGATGCAACAGACGTCAGACGTGTTGATAAATGCACTAAAAATCAACCTAGATTAATGAATACCAAATTTTAGTAAAGTATCTTTATTCACAATTTCGCCATTGGTCAAAAAAGTGGCAACTTCCAAGTATTTGGATCTAATTTTATACTAAATGTCAAGATGAAATATCAGCCAGGATAGCTTAGCTGGAAATATTTTCTTCCGCTTGACTACTGTGAAATAGTCATGGACCAAAATGAAGATTAATATCTGGCTGGCTGCAATCATTATTAATCCCTGAAGTATATGTATTCGTCAAGCGGATTAACTCAGACGATTGCATCCACCTTCACTCAGTGTCTTCAGCATGTCTTCAGCATTAACAACATCGTCCCAAAATCTTGCACCGATTAGGCCATGTTCTTCCTAGCCCATGGAATGAATTGACTCAAACCTCGCTACATGCCAGGCGTTCTGTTGGTTGACTTTAGAAGCGAAGAACCTTAAGCAAGACCTGGATTGATATGGTCGAAAGAACTTTCAAATGCATAAAGCTTTATATGGTCTAAAAAAAAATGATTTCTTTTACTTCTAGATACAGTCCTTTGATAGAGCTAAGAAATTTTTCATGCTTATCGCCAGTGTACTATCTATTACCATTAATAATAATAATTAGTAGTTATTTTGATGAAAAAAAGAGGTTTTATTACTATTTATTATTTATTTATGTGAGGTATATATGGTAGTTGTATATCAGGCATTTTTTTGCGCCGTGGATTATGCCAATTGTTTGTTCAATTTACGGTTCAATTTACTTGAATTTCGTCCAAGGCTTACCATATATACCTCACATGGAACCAAGCATTATTTAAGGTATTGGAAGAAGCATGCTTAAAAGAAGAATATGAAATTGACAAGTTTGTTTTGCGACATCACAATCGTGTTCTTGACTTAGATTTGCCCTTACGCTGGGCTGGTTTAACAAATAATGCAACAGTGGAAATGGTTCTTGCAAATCGGTTTAAAGTCCCAGTTGGAAAATCAGTCGAAGTTACACTTCAGGTTTCATTTTTCTTCTGATATCAAGAATGATGAAATTTTGAGATTGTGCTAAATTGCACTTATAAATGAACTTATAATTACAGTAATAAATTCCACAAAAGCTGTGACAAATTTTGGGTCTTCCTGTTTGTTTCTTTAAATTTAAATTGTAATTTATTGTTTTTTCTTATCCAATAAATTTGATCAAAGGAGATCTTACTTTTATAATATTGTTACTTTTCCACAAATCGCTTACGATTATATTTTATTTTTATATTTAGATTAAAGATGGATCGAGAAAATGTCATCGCTTTATACTTGAAAACACTCTTTCCGATGTTTTGGAAGTGTTTTCCAAACTCTTTGAACAAAATCTGTTGTACTCTGCAGATGGAAAATACCCATCATGTATTTATATGAATAAACGAGTAAGGGCGTAATTTCTTATTCATAATTTTCACTACTTGTTTTTTGTTTTGTTTTTGAATGAAATATTTTATAGGTTTATTTAATCGATCATTTAATTCATTTAAAGATTGAAAATTAAAAGATCAGAAATATTTTTTTTCATTAAATAGCCCGGATTTCTCGAAAAGAACTGCAGTAGAATATTTTTTTAGAATATTTCTCTTATTTTCCTTTGTTAGATTAGATGCACTGGCTGTTAAATACTTTGCAGTCAAACGATAATTAGTGAATAAGTATTTTAAATATTAAATACTTTTTTAATGGAAATTTTTGAAATTTTGAAAAATTTAATTTTGAAAAAATTTAATTTGATTTTTAAATAATTTATTCAAAAAGAAGTTTTTCAGTACTGCGGCATTAAAGAATTGTCGTCAGTTGCATTAAAAAATATGGGAATTAAAGGTGGCCGAACCCTTATCAGGTACGTATTATTTTTTGGTCAGTTTTTTCGAACTTATTTGATTTAAGCTCATTAAGTTTGAAAATTCTAGATACTTTCAAATTCAAATATCTGATGAGGAATTATACAGTATTGAAGCTCGTGTAGAGAAAGAAACAACTCGAAGGATGAAGGTGGCCTTCATATTCACAAAAAAAAGAGAAGGAAATTTAGGACAAATAATGAAAGAACAAAAAAAAATTGGATTCTCGAATTATAAGGAAATGCCGACGACTTTGGTCGTTTTTTATGTACTTAAATTGAGATAATTGATTGTTTCTTTCGATATTTATCTGGATTTTTTCCTTGTTTAAATTTTGGTTTATAAGAACATATTGGAGATAACATTATTGTTTATTTTCTTATTTCGCGAGAAAATTTTAATGAATTTTTGCCGAAATTGTTCTATCTTTTGGAAAATAATGTTATAAGCTAATATTTTCAGGAGCAAGTGGAACCCGATGATAAATTTGCGACAAATTTCGCAAGTTCATTAACAAGGTGAATTTCAAAGTTTTTTTTTCCATTTTTTAAGGTTAACTGTTGAAAAATTCTCTAATCAACACTCATTCTTTGGTGAACCTTATGTTTATGAAAAATTTTAGTTTTTTTTTAGCACAAATTCTTTTTTATAAAAGTTAAAAATTCTAAGTTCTTTTTAATATATAAATCATATAATTATTTCATATTTTTTACAATTATTTTTTATTTTTAAGTGGAAAAGAAATGGAATCTACCGCACCATCGTTTTTTTGTGCCGTTAATCATGAGTATAAAGAAGAAGAAGCTCGCGCATTGACTTTTGACCAGTATCTCTCGGCACAACAATCTTTGCTTACAGTGAGTGTTGTTTAAATTTTCACTAAATAAATTTTTTGTAGAATTGTATATTTTGTTTCAGTTTGATTTTGCTGAATTTCTCTGGTTACATTATTCACTTACCTACCATAGACAATAACAAAATATTTCCTTTCTTAAGGTGAGTGGGTTATTTTTGAGCACAGTTTTCGGTAGTTAGTTTTTCTTCTCATATATTTTGTCTGAATTTTTGATTATCTATGAAGATTTTTTCGATTTTTTTTTGCTAGGCAGGATTGCTGCAGACTTAAGAACATACTTTTCCTTTTTTTACTATTTTTCCTGGATTTTTTAAAGCTATTAAACTCCCACGTAATGGTCTGGGATACTTTTCAGCTGGATCATTCTCCAAGCAAAAAAAGCTCGGAAACAAGCATCCTTTTTTACGAAATCTTGGATAAAAGCAGAAAAATAAAACGATGACTTGAGATGAATTGAAGAACTACTAATACATGGGTTTTATATTTATAGGATATTGATCGAAAAGCTGTTTGCTTTGAATGCGAGGCTTCTTTTGATGGACATTTGGCATGTGCAGTTGCTGATTTTGATTATTTTTACGAGAACACTTTGGATGATTTGCGAAAAATTCAAAGAGATTTAAGAATCCAAGCGTTTGGCTTAAAAAATTTATAAAATTATTTTTTTTACTTTTTTTTTCATGTCTTTGTATTTTCAAACTAGGTACAGGGATATGTCGCATAGTACTAATAATTGGTTCTCAAAAAGTTCAACATTGTGTACTGATGTGATTGGGGTTGTAATCGAAGAGTTTTAATTGAATGGATGACGGAGAAACATCCTGTGAACAGCTGTAATTAAATCTATAAAGAAATATGCGTTCATTAGGTCACAAGAACGATTTAAAAAAAAAAAAAAAACGAGATGTTCTAAGATTTCTAATTTTTCTTCAGATGTTTTCATAGTTGAGATTTTCTTTTTAGCGATATACACCTTTGTAGCATCGAATCCTATCTTCTCCCTTCGATTTATCTTCATGTTTCTTTCTGTATTCAAATTCCCATTCCTAGCCGTTTTAGTATCAGCTGTTTCTCCAATTTGCAGGCTATACTAACCCCTTCTCAAATCAAAAAATTTGGCCGATTCATTTCTTTTAGGCGCATTTCAGAATTTTCGAAGTTTTCATTCTTATTCCATATCATTTCTATAGTATAGGCACACAAGTTATTCAAAGTTTCAAATCCTAGAACACTATAAATCTTACATATACCTCCATATACTTATATCTAGCGGAAAAGAAACCCGTAATATACAAAGTCGTTCCATGCCATCTTTCCTGCTATTATAAGGTAGTAGATTATATTATATCTTTATAATTTTGTTAAATTCTTAGAAAAAGCGATAGACCTCTTGTGCCCCAGTCTTTCATTGAGCAGAAGAATTTAGCACTGAAGATGGAAGCTTATAAAAACGTGGTTGTTCGATTTCGTTTCCCTAACGATCTTTTGCTTCAAGCTTTGTTTTTTTCATCCGAACCTGGTTAGTTTTGGTCGTATTGTTTTTTATAAGGAGTTTTTATCGAGAATAAGATTTTATATAGCTCGATTTTATTTCGATGATTGGTTCCATTCATATTTAAAATAACATCATAAATAAAATTCATTAAAAATTAGATATTTTCATCTGTGGTGATGAAAGATTGAAAAGATTTTTGCATCAAATTGTCAGCGCAATTTAAGAAAAAAATAATAATATAAGGAAATAGGAGGTATATAAGCTTTCAAAGGCATAGATTTCATTTTAATATAGTTAAAAAGTAATAAAGGATAGTAGAAGATTTCGAATAAGACGAGAATTAATTGAAATTTTACTATATAGTTTTGGAATTTTATAATAAAAATTATTTCTCAAAACATATTTAAACAGTAAAATGTTATGATTTATTGAAGGTTTTTGCTTTTCTTGTGACGTTGTTTGATTTTTTTCAGCTTCGAATCTATATAAATTTATATCTGCAATTCTTGAGTCTGAAAAATTCAATCTTTCTATGGCTTTGAATAAAAAAATTCCGAATACCAAAGACAAATCATTGCTGCTTTTAGATATAGCCCCTGCTTCTAAATTATTGGTGACAGATATCCATGAGAACATAGATTTTGTTGGTAATTTTTCTCTTTTGCTTGTTTTTGAATTAACTCACTTTTTTTTATTTTTTAGGAGAATAATGGTCCTTTTATTTTTATTTTTATATTTTCTTCAGTTTTCAGCCCGAATTGAGAAGAAAATTGGGAAAAAAATTTCTAGCACTCAAGCTGAAGAAATTTCTACTAAATGGTATTCTTTTATTTTTTGTATTTTATTTTGTTAGAAAATTATGTCCCTAAAATTGTAAAAAAAACTTTATTTCACTTTGAATTTTGTTTTAATTGGAGCAATATAAACTAATAATAGGAAGTTTAATCAATAAAAGTACACGTTGCCATTATGATTTATTTGATTGATCGATTTTCCTAGCTCCCATTAATTTAATTTTCGAATTGTTTGAATTTCTCGTAATAAAGTGGGATAGGTTGAGCAACTGAAATTAGCAACTGCTTTTCATCTGTTCAATCTTCTTCAAGTTGAATTCTTTATGACTCGTATATCTTTTAAGGCTGGCTGAAAATAAACAGTTTGTGTCGTATCTTTCTACAGTACCAGATGAAGCTGACCCTTTAAGTAAACAACCCTTGATTGCCAGAGACATAAGCTTCAAAACAGAAACGCAGTCGACACCACGGCAGAAAATACCGAAGTGGTTTAAAAAATAATTTTTTTAGTGATTATATTATAAATGCCGTATATTATAAATCTTGTATCAAATATTATTTTCACGAAATGCTGCTTAGCAATGCATATCTTTATTTCCAGAAAAATTTTTTTCTTATTTATTTTAAAAATCTTTTTTTATTTATTTTTTTTTGTTTCATAAAAACGTTTAATTCCATAGACTATAAAAATCTCTTGTATTTCTATTTTTTTCTGCAGAAGTGTAGTGATTATATAATCTTTATCACTGTCATTTCCAACTTATCGTTTTCCGATTTTAAAATATTTTTCATTTTGAGGCAATTAAAAAATGAAAGGAATGATGATGATCGATGAAATAGTTTTGTTTATTGAAAATTAGAATAAAATTTATTACCTATAAATTACGCAATATTTAGTCAAAATTAAACGGCACACAACTAATTAACACAACGAAATGGGAATTCATTGACATCGTTGAGCAGCATCCGACGAATTAATCTTCTATAAATAAGCTGCTGATTCTGAGCGCTTCTATGCATAATTCTGATGCTTATTTGCTTGTATTTCGCTTTTCCGTCTGAAACATTATTTAATAGAAAGTTGAAGATTTCTGAAGTTGTTTTTCCTTCTTTTCTACCTTGAAAGCGTTTTCATATTAATCCATAAAATGGTTTAAAATCCTCAATCACTATAGAAACATAATAGAAATGGTATAGGATATCACTGATATAGGATATAATGCGTGGTCCAGGAATATCTGACATTAAATACTGGAAATTGAACTGTCTAGTAACGATGAATACCGTAAATGCCATAAACTGATGTGAAATGGATGAAGGTAGTGAATATATGAGTACCGTTCTGGAAGTGATAAGCTGCTATGTACAATCAGTGTGAGTCGTATTTAAATATTTTTAAAAAAGTTACGTTTTCATTTTGTTGCATTTGATTTAAAATATTTTGCGGCAATGATTGCGATTTCATAACATTCAACCTGGTTTGAGACTGAATATTTATCTCATTTGGTATAGAAACTCGTTCCAGTGAAGGCATTTGCAATAAATCTTCCGATATCGAACAAACAGTAATCGGATTAATGAACGACTGGAAATCTTAAATCAGTTACGATGGGCAAACAAAGAGTAACTTGAATCAATTTTGGCGAAAGCTTTGGTCATAATTTCTAAGAGATTTAAGGAAAAAATGGGGAAATTTTCTGTTTTAGCGCATTTAGTTCATTGGAGAAATATTGAGGCAGAAAACAACGTTTTTACAGTCATTCATACTTCTTCGACGTCAAGTGAATGGAATATTGTTGTTTGCCATTTTCTGGAATCTGACTGGCATGGAACCTTAAATATTCCAAATTTTTTCTTTTTCATCCAATTTTTTTATCAGTTATTTCAACAATCTACATTTTCCTCAAACTAAAAATCAAAAAAGGTCAATTATGGGCTTATTTCCAATAATAATCATTGAAAAAATTTATTATTTATGTGTTCATCTGATAAAATTTTTGAAAATCATGAAGAAGTGAGTAAAAGTTAACCTTTTGAGAAGGCAACTGAGTTGAAGTTTTGTTAAGCGACTGTTTTAAAGAAACATTTGGTCTAAAATTAGTTTTTTTCAGACCTTTAATTAGTTTAACATGTGAGAATCAAGAAGGCCCTAGGAAGTATTTAATTTCATTTAATTTTGTTTACTTATTTATCTTTAATTTTAAAAAGCAAACTTTCCTTTCACTGTATGATTCTTGTTATTTACTGTTGGTTGACCTTTGCTTGGGCTTTTTTCGGTACTTTTCATTGTTGAACGAATAAATTCAATAAAATCAACTTGTTCATTTAAGTTTGGAGGCTCGCTTGGTTCAGTCATATTTCCAATTACACCATACTTTTCATAACACAGTAATATGAAAAGCTGAAAAGCTGATGAATTATTTTGTTTAAATATCACGTTCACATCCGATATACTACTATAACGTGGTAGTCTTGATAAAAAGTTTAAAAAATTCTATGGCTGAAAATTTGAACGTGCATGCACAAAGCATCAAGGACACCAACTAACGATCTAAGTCGACTTCTTAGTGTAACTTTTTTCTTACAGCTTCTAATTCGCTCCACTGACTCTAGGGCGCAAAACTTTCACCACTGAATCACCTTGGGTTGAGATACAGGTGGTTTCGCGAATCAAATGAATTTTATTAATAAGTCTAAAAAAATTGAGGGTTCAAGTTAATCATCGATTCATTAAGTCTAAATAAGGATTAGCTAGAAAAATTTCCTCACCAATTAGACGGCCCTTTTTAGCTGTTGAATTACGAGAAAAGCAAAAAATCGCTATCAGAGAAGAATTATTGCAAAAGGTGCAACTGTAAAATATTGCGGAATTTAACGACACATTAGCGTGAAAATTAATTTTAAGCGAGATCATACGAAGTTCTTTCTCGCTAGATTCACCCTAATAGCTGATTCGACGAAGTGCTCAACGTCGACTTGCAGAAGACACATTAGTTACTGCTAAGTCTAACAAGTCTGTAATCCTGGCTAGCGCACAATGTTTCAATATGTTCTAATACGTCAAACAAAGTTGGAAAAACTTTTGAGTATTAAGAAGAAAATTCAATGACAAAATCGCTCGTACGGCCACAGTCTTGCATAGCCGATCTTGCGTGGAGGATGGCATCGCTCTCCACCAACCCGTTCTACGCCTTGACCTTACGAAGCTGACTCACTGCCAATCAGCCATATGTATTCATCATACGGCTGGCCGGTCACCCATAATTTTCCTTTCCATCCAGCAATAAACCTTTTTCCGTTCAAACGTAATGACAATAAGCATGGATGAATCAATAAATCGCTAAATAACGATTAATTCAACGCCCTCAACAAATTTAATTTTTATTCGTTTAAATTAACGCACAATTTGGTGAAAGATATGCCTTCAATGAAATAAATGATTCGCTTGCAATATTCGAAAAATTGTTAAATTGTTTCTTAAATAAGAAAGGATTTTTATTATTTATTTTATTTCAATAACAATGAATTTTTTATTGAATTTTTCTCTAGAAAAATCATAAAAAACCTAAAAAATGAAAAAAATTATTTATTTAAAAAATAGCTTTTATTATTTTCAGAATATCAGAAAAATTTCATCATTTCACCATCTCAGCAATAGTTTTCTGTGATTTGTCAGTTTTTGAGAGTTGAAAAGATACTTTGCAGCACTGTGAAGGATAGTTTGAAGTGCTTGAAGAATGCTTTGCAGCATTCGAAGGATTGGCAAGCATATGCAAAAACCCATAAAGAATCAATGAACAATTTCAAAGCACAGCACCTAATCTAATCCTTTTCTTTTTGAAGAATAGACGAAAGACGCGTTTAATTGAATAAGATTCTTATAAAATAGCCAAGTGGGAATTTCAGTATACCATTTCCCATGTAATTTTAAATTTCTGCGAAAAAATTAGTGCAAATCAAATCTATTTTCCTTAGGGTTTAAATGATGTTTTCGTAATGCCATAGAAGATTCACAGAAATAAACAGGGAGTAATTCAGTTATATTCACCTAAGATCCTCTCCATTTCATCTTTCACGATTAAAAGTACACTAAAAAAGTATCCGAAAGCATATGGTTTCTCAGCAATTTTTGTTTCATGGATCCCTTTGACAAATTAATGAAGCTTGTGAACTTCCTTTTGCATTATGCGTGTGGACTATTTCCTAAATGGTCTTTTTCAAATAGAAAAAAAAGTGATTAGCATTCACGGTTTCTGATTATGCTAGCTCCCCTGACTGTTGTGCGGTAAGAAATAAAATTAACGAAGTCAATTGATGATAGAAGTTCCGCTAGCAGCATACAATTTTCGATGATGTTTGCTCTTGTGGGTCAGAGAATCGAAATCTTTCCCGAAACAACGACACCATCAGCAACCATAACCATACCACTTAGCTATTACTGTCCTTACTATTTCCAGAATTCATAGATGTAATTTAATATGAAAAAATATGTAGAAAAATATTTAAAAACGAAAAATATGAAAAATAAAAGACCAAATGAAATAGTTTTACTGAATTTCGCTCCAACATATGCATTTTCTTGAATTTGATTTGCCAAATTAATTTTAATTCATTTTATTTAAAACTATTTATTCTACGGTAACTTTTTAAATAAATTTTCAAAGAAATCTTATTTCTTAACAGTTTGTTTTTCAGTAAAAAAAAAAGAAAAAACGAAATATTCAATCTCAAATTTTTATTTAAAAAAAATTGATTCACGATTTTTGGTTGGACTAGATCCACTGACCCACGGTTAAAATTTTTGTCCAGAGAGTCAGTCGGTGACAGAAGTACAGATGGTGACAGAAGACCAGAATTAATGATTTTTTAATGATTCAGATCTATAAGGAAGCCATACCCTTGTCTTTAAATACGGTAATCATCATTTGGCAATTTTGACCCTTAAAAGAAATAATGAAAAAATGAAAGCATAAAATTTTCACGGTTTGCAAAACGTTTAATGTTTAAAATGTTTATTATTTTATTATTTGGTCAAAGGTAAACCACCACAATTTTGCTGAATTTCATAAAAATTTTGTTTTCATAATTTAGAAAAAGAAAATTCCCTAATAAATAGGAGGAAAACAACATGGAATATTTCTTAATTGTTATAAAATTATAGAAAGAATGAACATAATAACAAACTGATGGATTTATTACTAACTAAATAACTAATTAGATACACGTAGAAAATTAAAGAATTGATGGATAAATTAATTTATATCCAGCAAAAACGAAACTTTGCGTGACAAAATGTGAATGAAAATAAATTGGGTATGAAGCAACGATAAAAATATTGAAGTTATCCACAATTTCAACTTCATTTAGGCTTCTTAAGTTTAGGTTTCCACTAAAATTGCTTAAGGTTAGGCTTGGAAGCAAAAATAAGTTCAGATTTTGCCCACGCGCCATGTCGGAGTTTGGAGTGTCGGTGCTGGAATTCTACGTTGGGTAGGAGTAAGCCTTTCATTCAAAAACCATCTGTATTTCTGTCGCCAAATAGATCCCTAGCAAAATTTGTTTGTTCCGAGCCAGCGAACGAGTCTAATCAGCAATGGTATCTTTAAAAAAACTCGTTTAGGTTTAAGCCAAATTTATTTTGGTTAGATGCAAATTTAAAATATATTGAAAAATTGCGAATGCTATGAGTATAAAGTGCAGTATTTTCTTAATAATAAGCATGATCACCTAATGATTATTTCAAAGATAATTATAATTGAATCTAAAGAAAAGTGAACAGCTCAATTGTATTCTCAATTGTATTGTATTTAAATCAATCGCAAATTTTGTTATGCTTTCATTTTCTACGCACAATGATTGTTGATTGTTTAAGATTGTTGAAGAATGGTAATCTAGGAAAAACCACTTGCAAACGTAGTTACTGATAAAACGCTTTTATCACAGTCGTATGAAAATCCCTGAAACATACTATACACAAATTGTTAAGGACAAATATATAAATCTCGCTAAACATGGTAACTTGATTAGTGAATTCGAATTTTTAATGAATATTTCCATTATCAATTTATTTCCTTCTTTCAGTAATTTGTCTTCACCTCTTTTAAATTAAGTTTTGGCAGACTAATCACTTGATTACTAATAAAATTGCTCATTCGCATATCAAATGGAATATTATGATATTTTGAGGCGAATTTTTGAGGGCCAAACCGTTGCAAATCTACGAATTTTCTAAAATTCTTATAAGTTTTCTGAAAAGTGGATAAAAGTAAAAAGCTGCTCGACAGGTTGTTTGCATTTTAGAGCACCAATATAGTCCTATTGCGAGGAATAAATTCACCTTACAAAAAAATCTAGTTGGTACTGATCCATCTGTATTTCCAGCCAAGTGATTAGCAAGTTTAGGCCAGCGAAGCAAGCCTAACCAGAAATGGTGAACGCTTCAAGAAAAAATGATTAGCAGTAAACTTTCGATTGAAATGGGCTGCTTATCAAGCAGTTTATTCTTATATAGGCCAAAATTAGAAAACACCATCGCGTTTGCAAAAAAACTCAATCATAAATAATAATATTAATGCATATTATTCACCTGCACCACGAGAAAACTCCGACTTCGATAAACATTTGTGAAGCACCTGCGCTTATGCATTACTTTTTTGGTGCACAACTGTTTTATTCGGTAAGTCAAATTAGAAGCATTCATAGAAATTATTAAAATTTTTCCGTTTTATTTTCCTCAGTTCTATTCCTTTCATCCCATACATCATTGTTTTATTAATAATGCGATAGAAATTGTCTTAAGTAATTTCAGGAACATGGTGTGCCAAGAAGAATGGCCAAGTGGCGAATTGTGATACCTCGAAGACAAGCATCATAGGTTCGATTCTTATAAAAAATGACTGAGTGAAAACAAGGCTATGCTACGAATTCACTAGCACATTTATTCTAAAATCTCATGCGATTGTCTAGTACTATCAGCCACAAGCCAAAAATGGTGAGTGGGTATTGCAGGAAGAATAATTCTCAATCTTTTCCAATTCTGATAAACTATTCGTTTTTCTTTGCCTCAGAACTTTTTTGAAAAAATTTTATTTTTAATGCAGATCAAGCAATAATCAGCAATAAAAATTCAAAAATAATCCTTCCACTGCTATTAAAAATAAAACGTCTTTCAAAATAGATGAACATATCTGATTCTCTAATAAACATAATAAAAAAATTCAAACAGATCCAGCTGAGCTAATAAAAAGGAATGGGTAACAATTTCTTATATCAAAATCATATACAGGTAAAAAATTGATAGAAAATGTTATACACCCGCTTTTTCCAACCTGCATTTGTACAAATCTGATTATTACTTAGCATTGCAAACACCTTCAAAAAATCATAGAATATGAAAATGAAAATAATGAAAACTTTAATCCAAAGCAAAACTTTATAATTAAATATTTTGAATAATTATATAAAAGCAAAAACTTTCGCGTCAAAAATATAAAAATACATGAAACTACAATAACTACGTGGGAACAGCGATATGTTGATTTACCAATTTATTTCTGAATTTTGAAAACATAACTCCAAAGATAAGATAAAACTTATTAAAGATTGTAAACCAACCAAATTTACTCATATTGTGTCGCAAAACTGCGAAACAAAAGCTACTATGAGCTCATAAATAGAAAGACAAAACTAGTAATTAAAGATAGAATACACCGACAATGCTTATATACCGATCATTTCAGAAAAATACGTCGGTTGTCTATTGGCAAAATCGTGAATCAACAAATCCAATTCGAAATAAGGCAAGTAGACAAAAGTGGACAAGCCCCAATGAAAAAGGAAGAAGCTAAAAAGCCGTAACAATTTTTGACTGCTTGGGAAAGGAGAAAAAAACCAAGCAGACGAAGCCCAACATGCCTAAAATGGTCACAATAGTCAGGCTTTAGCTTTTGCTGTTCTGTAAAACTGTATTCATCCTAAACATCGAGAACTGGAAAATTGTACCAAGTTAGACAAAATCTTCCTTTAGGGAGCTATAAAAAATAAACAGACAGAAAGATATTGCAACAAAAATTGAATGCGTCTTCTGATAACTGAAGAGTAAAAATTATAATGATACTTTTTCAACATATCCAACCTAAAGTAAGAGAAAAAATAGAAGTTCCTCATTTTTTAACCTCATTACCTCATTTACCTCATTTTTTTAAAATTGTCATTTTTTTTACGCTTTAAGGAAAATGAAATTTCTACTAAAAATCATAAAGAGAAATAAAAAGCCGCAATTCAGAAGCACTAAAACCTTTCTTATTTCCAGTTTCCACTAAAACATAGAAGAAAACTTGAATTAAAACTTGAATCACCGAATCAGAGAAGCTAGCAGAAAAAAAATCAAAAATATCAACAGAGTTGACTTTATACAATGCCAGTAGTATAACATTAATCTCTCATTTTAATCGGCACTATACAACAATATTATTACAAGAAATATTCAAAAATAATAAATGACAAAATGGTATAATCACTTTCTCAATCAATGAATTCGTAAAAGCATATTTACCCTAAAGCACAATTAAGAGGAACAATTATTTTCTACATTCTATAAAACTGCAACGCAGATAAATCTTTTATAAGCGCCGACTTAAACTTTAAACAATACTTAAATGACAAATTAAATCACAGATTTAGGTCGCTTAAAGCCGTATAAAAGAAAATTCTCAATTACAGCCTTGAGCATGAGTTAACAAGATTAAAATAAAAATGATTCCAACTAATGGAAGCGATGTCATCAGAAAAGGCAACAGACAATTAAGGAGATTGAAATACTGGACTAAGTTTCAGCCGTGATAAAGAATCATCTTCGGATCGTCTTGCATTAATTCTCGGAGGAATTGGAGGTGCAATACGAACAGCTAAAAAAATAAAAAATGAAATGAAAAAAAGTCCATATGAGGCTCAAAACATCACATTAAGCGACTTACGGTAATCTACCGGCGGCGGAGGTGCATGCTCGTGAGGAGGAGCAGGATCTGCGCTAGGGAGACTTCGGTATGAACTACCAGCTGTACTGATGCCACTTTCAGTCGGAGTAACTGGTGTATTAAGATCGAGAGTATATGGTCTCTGAGGACGAGTGATGTTGGGAGAATGAACTAGAGAAGGTGGAGGAGGCGCTTGAGTAGCTGGAACTCCACAAGGCAATTTCAAAAGTTCGGCAGAATCATCGATTCTGAAAATAATGGATCATAAAATTTTATAGACATAAAAATCATGCACCACAATTTCAAAACATCGAAAGAGAAGAAAAAACCTTAAAGAAAAGTAAGGATTTAAAGAGACATCTATATCGATAGCATCGTCTGCTAATGGGGTCGCATGAAGTGTGACATCGCGCTGAATAAAATTAAGAATAATTTAAACGAATAAAAATTATTCATACACGAGAGAATTTTATTTGCTTAATCAAAAAGAATATGTATCTATAGCAATATCATATTATATTATATAATTTGATTAAATAAATTAAAAATAACAATAACTGTAGTTCGCTGATTGTTATAACAACTGTTTCCGGCATCGTCTTCCTCAACAAAATGACTCAGAGAATGCGACAACGTAGAACGATCTTCGAAATTCGATCCTGCAATGAAAATAACCGGAATAGTTTTTAATTTATCAAGTACTACTCTTTTAATTTCATTAGTTGCTTTTAACAATAGCCTATCATTTTTTTTTAGAAAGAAAGAATATGCGGCATATATTTATATCGATAACATCATCTGCATGAAGTGTGACATCGCACTGAATAAAATTAAGAATAATTTAAACGGAATAAAAATACTTACTTTCAAATGGACTACCAGATCGATTAATCGTTATCTGCGTGTCATCAATTCCTCCTTCGACAGGACTGTCCAATGTTACTGAAAGTCTTAAGTTTTTTTAAGTTTTTCAAGATGGAAAGATTGAAAAACCTTCTAACAAAGAATTTTCTTTTCCTGTTTTTTCACAAATTTTCTGTCTCGATAATTTCGTAAAACGCATATGGATGATGGGAATCCCGCGATAACCATCCACAACCTACCCAAATATCGCTTGCTTATCGGAAGATAGCTTTCCTAATTTGGACCCAGAGTAGTAGTGATTATACCTAATTCTGGTGAATTTTCTTTTAAAGAGTCCTCAACATTGCTGGTTAAACTCGCTCCACTGGCTTGTCGCATTGGGCAATATGCCAGGGAGCCCCTTGGGGATAGAAATACAGGTGACTCGCCAGCATCACCTGGATTTTTTAAGAGTCCTCACCATTATTGATTAAACTCGCTCCACTGGCTTTTCGCATTGGCCAGATTTACTCCTGCGAACTAGTTTAAAAACTACTGACTATGTTATAATAAAATGGAGTCGTGACTGCCGTGTCGGAAAGAGAACGGGCAGCTCTTATCGTATGGAACCCTGTTGATGACCGATTGGCCTACGCCCGCTTTAAATACTCGACTTTGTGCTCTGCGTTTTGCCCGGATAATCTGAATAAAAATAAATTCTGAATGTCGTAATATCTCTCTCGAAAAAATACGTAACTGTAGTCGAGGCTGTAATAGGCGCGTAAGACATGAGGGTATTTTGCCACCTTCTGTAGTCGACAGGCATTGTAGATCGTTGCGAAACTCGGTGTGCCAATGCAGAGAGTGTTCTCTGCTATACTGAGATGCACAATCTTTTTATCCGCAATGCATGTCTTCGACATTGCAGAAGATATCTAATTAAGTAGAACTCACCAGAAAATCAACACTCGAATTAGATTAGATTTTGGTCAATCACAAGTGTAAGAAGAGTTCTGTGATAAATTAGTCGTGCATATTGCGGAGCCAAAATTCGCCACCTTCACATAATGATTAGACACAAGATCTGATTGAAATGGACCACGCTGCCACAGCTTGCAATGTACTAACCATCGACAACTCCGTCGACTTGCAATGGGACATCTCAAATTGGCGATAATCAAAAATTATCTGCCACTTTGCAAGGCAAAATTGGATTGGAGGAATGGTCAGCGAAGTGATCCGAAGTAAGGATCGAAATCCCGTTGAGACTAGCGAAGATCGACTCATCCGATGGAGAGAATTTTCAATCTAAACTTAACTACGACAGGCCATACAGCATCCAGGACATAACTGAAAACATTTAAAGCTGTATAATTGCAACTGCAGACCACCAACATAGCACGAGATAACTTCTGATTTAAAAACTAGGTAAAATAAAACCTCCGGAGATGGTTTCTGCGAGCTTATATCTTCAAATGGCCAATAAGACATCTTCTTCGCAACATAAATGCAGTGATTATATTCGATATGGGAGAAGGAGGAAATGCCATATGGTAGCAAGTTCTACTACCAATTTCCAAGAAACATGGATGCAACATAGATGCAAGGAATCAATATGTTGGAGACTTCTGGGAAAATTTTTGTTTTATCTACTCTCTCAAGACAATAACAGCAGGACAAGTCCTGACCAGCTCTAAGCTGAATTTATGCGGAATGTGGTTATGCTGATAAAATTTTCATGCTGAGGAGTATACTGGAATGAATTAGACAACTTACCAACGTTAGGTGCATTATCGACTTTACTTTTGGTCAATAAGACGGCGCTCTAGCAAGTCATGCAACGCAATGGAGTTCATATTTATCAAAACACTTTATGGGCATACGCCAGCGCAGATGTGTATGTAGAGGAATCCCAACCTCTCGAAACACCCCTGTGCACTCAAGACTGCAATTCCTCCACTGCTATTCTATTTTGACATTGGCTCTAAAGAGATGTGTAAATTAGTCCAGAGTATAGTATCAAGGATTGAACAGGGCAAATGATGCTGCCCTTTTCGCTGAAAAAGTACTTCAACACGCAGGCAATGTCAATAGTAAAAATTAGTTTTCAAATCAGTACAAATAAGACGGAACGCTTTTCCACTCTTATAACTAATGGCCAAGCAAGACATGAAATTCCAGCTTTGAGATAGTTGCAAAGACAGGCGTCTTCTTTCGTATAGCGGAATCACTGGAATCGTCGCGAAATCAACCTCAAAACGAAAGTTCGCATATGGTCAGTGTACGCAAGTTATACGGATATGAAACTCGGCCAATGAAAATGGAAGATATCAGAAAATGCCTTTGACCACATATAAAATACATTCTACATACCCGCTAAATGGACAAAGTGACTGCATTCACCTTCATTTGAATACCACTTACATTAAGAATATCGTCATAAAGCGTCGTCTGCGCTATTTTGGTAATATTCTTCGTCGACCACAGGAATTTACGCACATCTCGCTACTTGCTAAACCCTCTGATAGATAGCGTCAAAAGCGTGGAGAACCAACCAAGACCTGGAACGATACAGTCAGGGAAGATTTCGAATGCATATCCGACCTAGCAATATACGGGCTTAGGTTGGCATTAGAAGGTTTTTTACCCGCACCGATAGTAGAGCGAATTAAACTAACAATGGAGCGGGCTATTAGAAGAAAAACAAAGACATTAAAAAAATATTACTGGGCGTTGATGTAGGTATTCGCAGTTTCATATCAGATGGCGGCCTATATGATAAGTTTTCAATGATACCAAAGGAAGAACAAGGCACTGGATCATCGAAAGATGTTTGACTAGATGACTGACTTCTTGAGGATGTTATAGGCCTACTGCTGCAAAAATTTAAAAAATTCAGTAATTCTAAGGTAATTTCAGTCATTTCTTATCACATTTCTATTATCAAAAAAATCAACCTCCACATCGATATATCCGATGTTGATGCGCGGCCGCGAAGATAAGAACTGGGTGGAATATAAGATGGATTTTCAAGTAAAGAACCATCAGAAGCGTCAGATAACTTTTCATATGGTTCATCTACCCGCAAATTATTATTAGATGAGTCATCGCACGCCAAATAATTAGAATTTCGAAAAGTATTGGCAACAGATGAAACCAAACTCATTCGACGTTCGCCAGAATTAGGTTTCACAAAAATTCTGGAAAATAAAATTCAAAAAATAATTTTAAGAATAGAACAAAATGGTGATAAATTTCAGATATTTTTCTACGCTAGACAAAATAAATCGATGACTTCTGAAATTTTTTAATTAATTTTCAGAAAATTCAGAATTAAACGAATTAAAACAAAAAAAATTCGAAAATGAATTGGAATTAACCTGGAATTCTTGGTTAGAACAAATTTATCTTTTTCCTTATCCTTTTCTTGTGCAGATTGCTTCGATTTCTTTCTATAGGAAAATTACACAGCTAATTAAAAAATATTAAAAACATAAGTATATGAAAATGCGAGAAATTAACATTAAAATCTATCGTTTAGATGAAAGGCAATAAAAATTTGAGAAAGCAATGGTCACTATAATATTCTCCGCCAACCGAAGCCTTTTTAAAAAAATTTATGAAATTCCTAAGATACAAAATTCTCATTTTACTGAGAATTAGACTATATAACGTAAGAATAACGTAAGAATAAGACTATATAACTAAGCTCTTTTGAAGCCAAACACTAAAAAAATTATTTTTTATAAATTTAATTATAAAATACTTCGGCTTAACTGTGGTCTTTTTTCCATTAGATTTCGTATTTTTCGCAAATGTTCCTTGGTATTTAGAGGTGACGAGTGACTGCAAATTAATCGAAAATAATTTAAGGAAATTGTAGATTTATGTTAATAAAAAGAACCAGTCTTCAAACCAAAGTACAACCCCTAACATTAAAAAAAAACCATTTTCACCCACCTTTTACATTTTTTATATAATACTATTTGAGTGAACATAAGGGAGTGGCACCAAGAAGTTATAAATGGGTTTGAAAAGATGTGAAGTGATGGTAATAGTCAAAAAAAAAGTGGTGCATAGAAGTACACATTGCACAAAGAGAGTATTAATAGGATTTGAAAAAGTTTTTTACGAAATGTGACAGGTTTTGGATATCAAAGATGAAAGACTCCTATGTTTGAGATCGCGTTTTTTTCCGGAAACTCATATTATGACGTGCATATTATGAGAAATAATAAGCGACACCTTAGATATAATGCTCGAGCCAACAGTAGTTGACCCTAGAGGAACTGCCATTATAGTTGGTCGCGGCAAGGACCACGTTCCACTTCCTGAATATTTTCATATAAATAAAACCAGATCCTCAAATCGAATTTCAGTCATTAATAACAAATACAAATTTTTATTGAGTGGGGATAACTGGGCAAAGGATTTAGGATTTAATGCAACTCGGAATTAGCCAGATGTAATTAACTGATAATGTAAAAATTACTATTGGGAGACTTATCCATTAATTTGAAAAAATTTCGGAAGAATCGTTTGTCGTCATCGCTTCCTTTTGATCCAGAATTTTTCTCTGTAGTGATAACAGACCTTAAATTAATTAAACCGATTGTTTAAAAAACTAAATGATACTGAATGCAGCTAAATGATAGCAAACGAAAAAATCTAGTTTGTATATACAACCAATTTAAACCTAGCGTGGTTATTGTTCCGAGAAGATAAATTCATTTGGACACGACGAGGTGTTGCTAAGTGGTCAATAGAAGATTGACGGCAATCGTCTTTTTCTTGAAGACTTTCTTCCAGATCTACAAAACAAAATTTGCGGATAAATCAATTAATTAAAATAATAATTCAGCCATTTTTGATCTTTAATTTTTTGTAACTAAGCACAACGTTTGATGATAATGCTCAAAATTATAATTAACAATACAGACATAGCAAACCTGCATCACTGACCACCACAATACATTCTTCATCTACATAATCTGCTCTATCCAAATCACGAGTACGTTCCTTTTTATGCCTACATGCATTCACACGATGAAGAGTGTTACAGTTCGAATTTGTCGGACTAATATTGTTGATATTAATTCGCTGCCGATATAACTTTACAAGATCTGGCTGACTCTTCGAAGGAATTTTTGAATCTACCTTCGGAGGAAAACAGAATTCATGTGTCTCTGTCGGAAAAGATAATTTCTTCGGTGTCCTAGGAAGAGTAGCGAACCCTGACATGACACATTCAGAATACTGCTCATCAGAATTTGAAATCCCATTGGATGTGGAAGAAGAACGTTCTCCGTTGGGAGCTGAAATAACAATACAAACACAACACATCACAACTATGATGCTAGCCTCTTCATGATAATGAAATGGATATGACGGCATGCTAAATATCATTACAACTATATACTGAGACTAGATCTTATTAACTTCAACACTACTGTTTCAAGTGGAAAAGTAACACCCTATTTGAAACATTCTATTTTCAAAATTTCTATGTGAAAATCCTTATTTATTAATATTTTAAACAATAAAATGTTATTAATGACCGATATATGCCGAAAAAAATCTAAAAACAATAGAAAACAATAAAGTTCATGAAAGATGGGAGGATGGGAAAAAAAGTCTTATGAAATCTTTCTTCGCAAATTTCCTTTAATCGGTACTTACATTTTATCATCTGCAAATCTTTTGTGAGTGAAATTTCCGTTTTACAATCTGAAAATAATGTTGAAAAAAATCAATAATAAACGACAATTTTCCAGTAACTGAGGTGAGCAATTTAATTATATAGCTATATAAAAGACGAGTAAATATAGTTGTGCTTTATGTTCTAAGTTCTAAAATTCAATTATTATAAAAGAAATTATAAAATAATTATCTTAAATTATCCTTATCTTCATTAAAACAAATAAAGTACTCACCGAACGGCTCCGAAATATCCGAACATTTTAAATGGGGACGCCTTTTCGGTGGCTGAGGTTTCTCTTTCGGTGCTTCTCTTGAAAGAGTCTGTTGCAGTTCAAATATCATTTGATTTAGTTTCAGCTCTCGCTCGCCCTTTTTCAAGCTTGAAAGTGATTTAAAGAAATAATTTAAACATAAAGCGTTCAACCGATAGTATTCGAACCTTTAGTAAAAAACATATCTACGTTTATAAACCAACCACTTAGGCCAACTATAAATAAATTCTGAATCCCTAAAGGACTAGCCGATTAATAATCAAAAGGTTGCCGGTTTTCATTGAATATAATTTTTATTTTTAGAATGCAAAACGGAATTATCACAAAAAATGTGCAATAGACTATGAGAATTAAGCCATAAAAAAAAACTTTTCTTCACGCTTTTGAAGTTCATTTGCTTTTTTCATCATTTCATCAGCAATCGCGGCAATTTCTTCCATCATACTTTTGCGAAGAGTATTCATACTATTTTCCAAAAACTGAAATGAAGAAAGGGAACCTTTCAAAAAAATTAATTGTGAAATCTTAATAAAAATTTTGCAAATGTTCAGAGAAATTTTTACTTTTTGGTCATGAAGATCGATAGTTTTGAATTTCTCGCCGAATTTCTTGAATTGAACAGTTAACTCTTTGAATGTAGGTCTCTGCTGTGGATCGTCCATCCAACACCAATCAATTATATACTTCAGATCTGGAGGACATGAAGAAGGGATTTTTTGTTTGACAAATGTACCGATCTGCAATATAAAATTTGAATAATAAATATACAAATAAAAGTAAAAGAACAAATAATTAAAAAGTATTAAAATAATGTTATGCATAATCTGGATAAATTATTAAAACCAGAATCGGCCTTTTCACAACGAATGAATTGATTTCATAATCTAATACCTGCAATTGAACAGCTCCTTGACCAAGACCTTCAAAAGGGACAGCTCCTGTTAGCACTTCCCATAAAACGAGACCGAAACTCCATACATCCATTGCTTTAGAACATTTCCTATCACGAATCACTTCTGGAGCCAAATAGGGAACAGTGCCGACCACACTCATCCTATTAACAAAGCTACAGAAATACATAGAATGACAAGAGCAACGCTTTTTTTTCCAAAATAAACTTTTTACGAGAAAAGATTCACCAAATTCTTTTGGACAAAACAGTTTACCTGCAATCTGTGACCTGAATTCTCTTAGACAGCCCAAGATCAGCTATTTTCAATGTAAGTCGATTGAGTGCTGATCCACCACATTTATAACAAACACCATCGTCCGATTTCATTGAATGAGCGACTTGCTCCGTTATATTGGGACGCATACTTAATAAACATTCGCAAACCTTTTCTTTGATCAAAACTGAAGAAAAAAATTTTAAAATAATTCACAATGAAGAATACTTATTTCTTAAAGCTCTTCACTTTTAATTTTCTAACTTTAAAAATAATTCTCAAAATTTCTCTACAGCTATAAAAAAATAATAAAATATTTAGAAACCTTACCATTTGCAGCCTTTAAATCACGATGAATAACATTGAGATCATGCAAATATTTCATTCCCTGTGCGATCTGTAAGCCCCAGTAACTGATTATTTCTTCCGATAATAAGATATCTTTCGAACTCGAACAAACACTGGATAATGAATCTGAAAAAGATGAAATGATCCGACAACAAAATATCAATTTTTCATTAATTGAAAAAAAATTACCCAAACCCTGTAAAAATTATTTACCGATGGCTGTTTTAAAAAACTAACCACAACAAAGTTCGAAAACTAAGCCGAACTTCGCACCAACAAGCACTCCATACATTTCTACAATATTTTCATGGCTAAGCATTTGAAAAATGCTAGCTTCTTCTTGTACAGCTGAAAAGAAAATGCAAAAATAGAAAATAGAAAAATATAAAATAGAAAATAGATCAAATACTTCTTTAGCGAATCACTATTTTTTGTTCTAATTAAACCCCTTATAAATAATCTTCAGCATTTACTGACCTTGACGAATCTCCTTTTCACTGAACTTCGAGTGGGGAATTTTAACGGCTACATTCTGCAAAATAAGTAAAATGATTCGTCTACAGAAACCTCGAACAACAAATTATCCAAATAATAAAGAGAATAAAACCAATTTTTATTTTCAATTATTTTCATCAATAGTAAAAATTTCCTTACTTTGTTTTTATAAATAGCAGATTTGACAACACAAAATCCACCAGAACCGAGTAGACCCGTATATTGCAACTCGTCATTATTTATTTCATTAACTTTACCAGGTGCTAGCTGAACGTGATTTTGAGGAAAAAATCCTTTTCGACCATCTTCAGTTTCACCATACCACCAACCGTCGTCACTAAAAATCTCGTTCTAAATGAAATAAACAATTTGTAATAGAGTGTTCAGAATCATTAACTTGCTAAACCCTGTGGTTGCTCGCGTCAAAAGAGAGGAGGTCCAGTCAAGATATGGACTGACTGACTGATACAGAAAAGATTTTGAACGTATAGGTAGACCAGCGATAAATGGACTTAGATGATGCAAAAACGAATTGCTTCAGATTCCGTTCTTTATGCAAAACACACGAAATATCTCAGTTATAAGTGATCTAGCGGTAATCAAAACAAGAAAAATTTCTTCAATACACAACAACTGGTTATTTTCAATTTAAAATGATTTCATATGAAAGTGCACGCTTTGCCTCAGTTTAAGTGGTTCACTACATTATAGATGTGATTTTTCAAAAAATAAAAATAGAGACAAGAACGATATTTATGAATTAATAAACCAATCATAATTACCAATCTCTACGTAATACTCTTATAGTTGATCCTCTTTTTAATTTTAATTCATCTCCATTTTTCGGATTATAATCATAGTTCGACTTCATTACAATTGATTTACTGGCTTCATCGCGACGAAATCTAACTTCTTGATATACTGCAAAAAATTTCTACTTTCTAAATAAAATAAAAAGAATAGTTTCTAAATAAAAAGAAAAGAATAAAAAGAATTGTAAAAGTTTAGTTTAGTTTCCGATATGAACTCCCACAGAAATGCCATTTAATAAATATGCAAATAATTGCCAATAATTATGATCCTTACGGTAATAATCATCCTTTTGAGAGCAAGTTGACAATATATCAGCCGCAGATCGAGATTTTCTGGTAGTGTAATAAAATGGGATTTGAGGACGATCTGGTGTATGATCATCGATATAAACTTTGGAAGTTGTCGGCTTCATTTCAACTAGAGTTTTCACTTTAAATGTCTGAAATCGAGTAGCATTTAAGATCATCTTAACAGTTTTTCTCACTAAATTGATCATGCCTAAAATGAACAATGTAAATAAAGTTAACGGAAAAAAAAGAAACGTACATACCTCATCCTCACAAAAGCTCATCAGTCGAGTGAATATATTGTGAATATATTAAGTGAACAGTGAGGACAGAAATAAATATTCTTATCAGTTATTAAACCAATAAAACCTTCTAAAGAACCATTACCACTGACAGGAACAAATGAAATCTGACAACGAAACGACCGTCGATCCGTTGACTCCAACTCGCATTTCTGCAATTTTTATAAGAATAAAAATTAAAAATATCTGGAAATTTAGTAACAATCAATGAACGCAACATGCTTAACTATTAGAACTTCTCTTTTCAACAAATTTTTAAATAATTTTTATCTTTAAGATAATAATCTTAACAAAATCTTAATCTTAACAAAACAAATGTTTAAAAAATCATTTGATATGTTTTGCATCGAACAAATAAACGACAAATTGAATAAATCTCTCTCGAAAAAAAATTTCCTTAAAAATTTTCTTTTTCATAATTTTTATTTAGAATGGCCACTATTAACATAGCCAAAAATTCTAAAAGAATAGAAAATTATCGAAACAAAATGGCGAATAATCAATGACGAAAAATTAATCATTTAAAAAACATATATCTATAAAAATACGCAATAATCATACACTAATATTGAGAAAAAATTTACATTAAGCGAAAGGCTTTAACTATTTTTTCCAATTATTTCTTTCTATTGTTACGGAAATATTTTTAAAAATTTTCTTCATAAAAATTTCAAAAAAAAATATTTTTAATTTTCTTATTCGATTAAAAAGAACTTTTTTTGAAAATTTGTTTCGAAGAAGGATTTTATAATAGGAAAGAAGGATTAAATAAAACAATTTCTTTGGAAAAAAACCTTTTAAAGAAAATGAAACAAAAATTTTTAAGGTCGATTATAGTGCAATCAGGAAAAATTCTTTTCACAGCAGACTCTCATCATAATAATCGATAGTACAATCTGATTACAAAAAAATTTTTTCCCAGCTAAAATAACAAAAAATTCAGAAAATACCTGCATAACTAATGAGATGCTATGAAGGAAAACGAAAATTTTTATTTTTCTCAAATAGAATGAAAGCCGTCATATTTTATAAAAAACATTTAGACTATAAATTATATATTTGGCATAAAGAAATAAATTAAATCTATGCAATTATAGTACCTCAACTGGCTTGTAATCATTCTAAAAAAGCTTAATGAAACCTACTGGAATCTCCTTTTTCTTAACAGCATTCAATATCCTCTGGTTTGTTAGACTTGACTGAGTATAAGGGTGATAGCTCTCCACCGGCGAATCACTTAGAAATTCTGATAAGCTTCTAGCGCCATTCAGGTTTCATTTTCAACAATGAGTTGATCAACCAGAAGGGAGAACCGAATTAATGCTGTTAAAAAATAGAATCGAAGTACCAACCGATCGTTATTATGCTCCAATATTCGATAAGAATAATTATGCCAATAAATTGCCAAATACTTAATTGATAAAAAAGAAATGAGTCGAAGAATCGAAAATAAACGTTAATTAAGTGGGATTAAATAAGATAAAAAAAAATGAAACAGAATTTTGAAAAATCACTATAAAATTTACCTCACCAAAGTTAATTATACTATAAATTATATACTTAAAGATTCACCAACTTTATAGGAAAATATTTCAAAAATTTTCTTAAAAAATATTTTAAAAATCATATAATGCTTAATAACCTAAATAAGTGGAAAAAAGTCTTCATGAAAAGATTTTTTCATCAGAAAATAATTTGATTTTTTCATAAAACAAAATTCGCCAATAAATTAAATGACCGCAAACAAAAAAAAAAGAACAAATTAATTAAAAATGTCGAAGATATTTCACTTTTCCTTTAAAAAATGATTTTAAAATTTTTTGAGCAAAAATCAAAAGGAAAAAAGCAAATTTCCAATAAAATTAAATTAAATTTCCAATAAATGAAATTAGAAAAATCCAAAGTACAAACAATGTTTTCAAATAAAATTTTAAAATTTTGAAAAATTCACATGAATAAAAAAATGAAAACTCTCTGAAAAATTAAAATTATGTAAAAAGTCACATTTTAAACCACGTGCATCGATTATTTGGCTGCACTCACACAGATAATGCTTTACTAATGCTTTACTAATTTCAAAATATAAATTAATAAATTAATTATCAAAATATAAATCGAAATATAAAAAGTTTTGACCATACAAATATTAATCCGAATTTCTTATAAATTTTTTCTTTGTCTTCTATCCAACATTTACCATTTCCGATATGATACCATTCATAAGGGTAAATTCACCATAGAAATTAGCAGAGATAAAAAATTAAAATACGGATCGATCTCTTAAAAATCGAACAGCGAACTTCGTTCCGAAATACATATAGTTAAGCATCATTCAAATTCCGTAATTAACTTTTATTAAACGAAAAATTAACATTAATTCTTTCTTTAATATTCTTTTATCTAAAAAAGCATAAGCAAATTTAGCAAAGTCAACCAAACGAGATCTTTCTCGTTTTCTAAATATATGGATCAACCCTGGTTGATTCACTGTACATACTTAGATTTATACAAATGATCTACAAAAACCTATTATGGGGATTTCTAATACTATTACAACAAATATTCGAAGGTTAACGACAATAAACCCACATTAATTGTCAACAAAACGCTCATTCAACAAGACTTTCCGAAACTTGCCTCTGCTCAGCCTAATTCTGCCTAAAAAGCTTGTTCTTGCCCATTATAAGTTATCTCAAACCAATTATCCTTTCACCAGTTAGAACCATAATGCTTGATAGCCGATTACATAAATTTGTTGCAATTTATTTTCAATGTCGCCAAATGGGCCCATGGAAAGCTTTGTCTGCAAGCCAGCGTAGCGAGCCTAACCAGCAACCAAAAAGAGAATTGTGGCCCAGCAGCATTCTTAGAAAAAAATTCTTCAATGTGCACCCAACAACCATAACCTTCAATACCTTCTTATTAAACGATATGACCACTTCACACCCACTCAATAATATGCCTAATCACTGGTTTCCCCTAACTTAACGAACTCTCATCAAAAATAAACTAATCGAAACTTTGCCATAATTCCATAACTCCTCGAATCGATTATAGTTTGGATTAAATTAAGAAATTTTAAATCGCTCTCGTTTTAAGAGTCAGATCTGCAGAAAAATACAGCTCAAAATTTCTTACACCAGTGCGATTTTAAGTTTTTTTCATGGCTTATCATCATCACAAACTGGACATTCGTTTATTTGTTCACATTGAAAATGATGAATTGCATGCAAGCAAATGACGAAAAAGTAATAAGAAGAAGAAGTAATAAGATTTCATACTTTAACAATTGTCAGGATGAGCAATATTTTCAGATTATCCCATCAAATTAGCAAACAAATCGGCAAACATTTTTCAGTGCTATATTCTTTTTACTAGTCATCCCCCATCCTAGCTTAAAACTTATAAGAAGAGCATTGCTTCAGTAAAATGATAACATTATCATTGATTAAATAATCGCTATGACAGAAATACAATTCTTAATCATGAAGGAATTTGATCAAAATATTGCACAAATGGTTTCGAAAAAAGACTAAATTATTAGCAAATATAGCCATAATAAATGTTTAATGCAACTGTCCTTAACATGAACTCCATCCACTGCATCAACTTCTTGGAGATTCTTGAACTTTCCATTCAATTATGAAAGGAGTAGAGTTGTTAACGCATTATTCAGGACTTCTTCATTCATTGAAAACACAGATTTTTCATATCCTTTTCTTTTTCATCATTATTCTTCTAAGAAGGAAGCAATTCGCAGAATTCACCAGAACTACCAAAGGGGACCATGGCGTAAGGTTAAGGATTCTTAAAGAAGCACGACATTGATATATATAATTAATATAAGTTAAGTCACACCATTAGTGGTGCACAGTCTTTGGCGTACTCATCGATACGATTAAAATAAACATGATGCAAGAGAAAAGGAAACGCCAACCAAGAAGACTGAAATACGAGATTAGGGATACAAGATTCAGCTTTATTCCACATGAACGCAAGAAAAGGATAGTGTTGATAACTCTTCTGTATTTCTTCCAAAGCGAATCTGCTGTGCAGCGAATGCATTCTAATTGCCTATAAAACCAAAAATGGGGAGCTCTGAAGAAACAAATTGGCGAAGAGATGAACGCTAGGCGGTGGTACAGCGGAAAAATATGTAAATATGAAAAAAATTTTATAAAAAAATCGCCGGGAGGATTTAAAGCTGATTAATATTCATTTTTTTTCATTTTTAGTTTATTTATGGTCGAATGAGAGAAATAATTTTTCAAAAAAAAAATGGGAAAAACGAATGGTTAATGGAAATCACGAAATATATAAATCTTCTTCATTATTCATACGAATAAATTTTATTATGCAAATTAATGCTGAAAAATTTTTTGTATTTGGAAATATTATTCCTAGCAAGTAATTAAGCACTTAGCACTCATTGCTCATGATTAGGCTTTCTCCACTTATTTTAAAGAATCCTCACTTATTTTTTTGATTTTACCTTTACAGAAAAATTTTCCAGCAATTTTGGCTTTTTTTAAGAGCATTCACCATTACTGGTTCGACTCACTGCTCTGACTTGTTGCACTGGACAAATTTGCCAGGAAGTTCCTTGGCGATAGAAACACAGGTGAGTCGCCAGCATCACGCGGATTTTTGGACAGGCTTACTCCTGCGGGAAATAGAGCCTCAGCATCGGCCCTCCCAATTGATCAACAGCCCACTGAGCCATCGCATCCCTCCACTTGGTGCGAAGTTTTTGCCAGAGATTCACCCAGTGATAGAAGTGCAGACTGCTCACCATGAGCTTTTTAATGATCCGTTTACTTCTGCTAAGAGCAGAGTCAAGTAATGTTATGACAGTCTAAGCCAACATTTCTGTGTTCCGCAGAGCGATAGCAAATATGATGCAGAAATTTATCTCAAAATTTATTTATAGTTTCATTTTACAATATCCCGACCTATTTATTTCGAAATAATGTATTCAATAAAAGCAAAATACAGGCTCGATGCTACACCTAACATAAGGATTCGACTGTTCAATATCGCATCTGATATAAAAAAGTTGGCGAATTGAAGAACCTACAAAACGCCTTCAATCTTGTTTTTACATTTTTTTCAAAAATGTAATCGGTTGTTACCGTATTTTTACAAGTGCATTATTTTCAAACGATGGTAAACAATTTTTCGTAATCTTTATATGCAAATTTGTATGCAAAATCTTTGCTTGTTTTTTAAATAGCCGCAAATTCAACTGCTCCATGGAACAAAAAGTTCGGGAAACGCTCGTCTGGACAATACACAATTTCAATAATTACAAAAAAGTATGCAAATTTTAAATCAAATCGTAAATATGCCAAATAGTGATTAGGCTTTTTCCGCTGTCTGATCGTACGACGAAAATTTTTGCCAGAAACTTAGTTAGAAATAAATTTTTTAATGACAGACCTGTCCTTATCGAAAACACGTAGAGTCCAAACTTCTTGTTGGACGGTCGAGACGATGATCACTCAATCAGTCAGCTAATTGGTTTTATTCCGAAGTGAAATGCGTATTTCTTTATTTTTTTATTTCTTTATTTTACTGCACATAATATTTTATTAAACTTAATTTTAAAAAAATCTAAAAGTTGTTTTTCTATAGAAATGAAATTTTTCATAAATGGGAAATAGGTGATAGGTGAAGGTTTTAAATACATTTAATTTTTCGAGCGATTTAATTTAACATTTTGCCATTAATCATTCAGCTAGTAATACTTTAAAAAATATTATCATTCCTTAAGATTATTGTTGTGATAGTGATATTTGCTCTTTTTGTCCTTTTGCCCTTATCAGTAACTGAAATATATCAATTCTTTACTTTTTGATCGAATACTAATTAACAAATATAATGCTAGTATTATCTAGTTTCATAAGATTCAAAGATATTAACTGTTTAATTCAGAATATTCAATGACGAAACGAGGAAAATTTTTCAAATGGAATGGCCGTTTGCAAGAGAAATTATTTTTAATGGAAATTCAATTTTTAAAAATTAAATTGCAAAATGTTCGTTTTCCTTGGAAAGCCATGGAATATTACTTAGCGTTAAAATCAGATATTTGATATAAACCAGATATTGTTTTTATTTTTTTATATAATTTGTGTTTAATGATGGATAGTTTTAAATATATGCATCCAATTAATGAATAAACTATTGAGAAATACTTCGATTTTAATTAATTTATCAACGCATTCTTCATAAATTCAAAAATGATGTGAAAATAATATTTTAGAATGGATGAGATTTTATACAGAGAAAATAAATAAATAGTTATCGCTCACAATTTCTGGTTGCTCCGCTATCCACTCGTTTATCCTGTTTCGATGATATTTACTACTGCATCAAATTTCAGATTTCGAATTCACAATGTGGAGGATCTCCTTTGTTTGTTCTTAGGTGGAAAGAAATAGGCTGATTTAATATAAGCATATCAAATAAACAACTTTATTCGAATAAAGCCCGAAAATCAGAGAGATGCGGAATTCGAGTAATTTGGGTTGCAATGAGTAGTACTCGAAGCGTTTTTCGCTGAATTTTCGTCGAATATTTCATCGAAGCATTGCTTTCTTATTCCATGTTTCATGCATTAATGAATGTTACTTTAATCGAAGAAAATCTTCAATTGAAGAGTAGCGCTTTGGAGGATGATGGAACGCGACGGTGTTCTAGAGAAGATCATTCGACTCATAAAAGCATTTTACCAGTGTACGTCGGTCTATTTATGTAGGGAACTGACAGACTCCTTCGAAATAAGAACTGTTGTCCGTCAAGGCTACGTTCTTTCCATTACAATATTCGACTATGTGGTAGACTGGATAATGAACACCTCCTGTCGGAACTCGAGAGGTGTAAATCAGTCCAGTGCATCGCATCATACTGATGATGTAGTCCTTTTTGATGATAGTTATGACCAAATTTATGACGAGATAGTTATGACAAAGTTTCGACAACTGCAACGAGAATCGGATTGTAAACACTGTGGCGTCAAAAGCGAGGTGGGCCAATCAAGACCTGGACTGATACGATCAGAAAAGATTTTGAACGTATAGGTGGACCAGCAATATATGGATTTCAATGATGGAAAAAGGAATGATTCTATTCTATTGTTGTCGACGATGGCATCAGATCGCGCAGCTTGGAACTTTACCTTTGTAGCCAGCAAAGCTAACCTAACCACTAATGATAAGAGCAGTTAGAAGAAGAACATTCTAATCGAAGAAGGATTTGAAGTTTGCAAATCTTTGCCTAGAAAAAATCTTCATAATTAATCTCCACTAATTAACTTCAAATATTTTTACCATTGATAGTCGTCGAAGAAAACATTGAAATTGCTATGGTTTATCTTTTACCGCTGTAGGCCTACGAAGCATCAAAACAACAAAATGTTGACAAAAACCTCATTATCATATAACTTTGGTTATCATATAACTTTGTGCATCGAAAACTTGTAATGTCCAACTGGAACGATTAGTTTCTCCGATCTTCTGCAGTTTTTGCATACAAAATTTGTACATGGAACAATTACGAGAATTTGTGCAAATAAAAAATAAATTTTTTTGTGACTGCTAATAATACAAATTAATAAAAATGACGCCACGAAATTAAGCAGTGGGGATAGTCGAGCGATATATTGCTTCGAATTACGTTTGCTAACTGAGGAGAAAACAATATGCAAAAGTTTTTTTTCGCTATTGCGAAAAAAATTGCAAAAGGTTTATCGAAACTGATGAGGTCTGTCATTTTAAAAAATCTCTTTTTTCAGTGTATATTGACGTTTTACAATTGGAAAGAATTTACATTTTTGCTAATCAGCCTGGAACTTGGTGCTATTAGCAATCTAGTAATAACCTAACAAAGCAATAAACTGTTGCTAAATGTTTCTTTAGGGCGCAATAAATCAGTTCTTCTAAAAAGACTCATCATTTCTGGTTTAAATGTAGATGTTGCTGAGGGCTCATCCGCACATGTATCTCTAACTGGCAAGACTGTGTGCTCGGTGGAGCTAACTGAACGAGAAATGACTGAAAAAAGAAAAAGGTGACATTTAATACCATCTCATCTTTTTGTTGAATTTCTAATAATTTTCGATTATTTTAAATAAAAGCGTTTTTTAAAAAATATGGTAAATATAATTTATATTGAAAAAAAGAGTCCAATTTAGAAATTTTCAAATCTAATCTAGAAATTTATCAGCTTCAAAAAAATTTTATGATCTGTATGATATGAATTGTATGCGACGATTTTTTTAAAAATTTCTTTTAATCTCTTCATTAAACTTAAAAGATGGAGAGCTAAACACTGGCTTAAATGGAAATAGCAATTATGAATAAACAGTAATTTCTATTTTCCCTAAAAAAAGTGGTTTGCTTAACTGATAAGCAAAAAGTAACTTTAGAAATGATTGATTCGTTAAGCAAATGAATGAATCAACAAGATGAAAAAGTTTTTTTTCCGCTACTGTGAAGAAAAATTACAAAAGGTTTATCATAATTGATGAGATCTATCATTCATAAAAATCTTTTTTTCAATATATGCTGCCAATTTTACAACAGGAAAAAGTTTTTGCTAATTAACCTGAAACTTGATACTATTGGCAATCTACTAATAACGTAACAAAGCAATAAAATTTCACTGAATATTTCTTTATAATGCAATAAACTAGTTCTAAAAACATTCTTCATTTCTGGTTCAACAGCCTTCATTGGCTATCGAGATGAGATTCCTTCGCATGAGATTTTGGATTAGACTAACACCAGTGATTGCCATTATTTTTGCCATGTGATTTAAGAATTCTCTATGCCTATAAAACTGGAATTGCAAATCAAATAGTAGATTGTTTTCATAAGAACTAATGAATTCAAGTTTTTTGCTTTAAGAACCCTTCGAAGATTGAAGGTCTCAAGAACTTTTGCTCGCATAGGTTATATATATTTAAATTTTTGGATCTGTTCTCTTCTAATTGGTTCTAATGACTTGAAGGATGAAATGTTTAAATGACCCTCTTGAAACATTTGAATTATTCAAACTTTCTT